CATGTTAGTTTTTTAAAATCTTTAATTAAAACAATTTCTCAGAAGTTATGGCAGAGGAGGGATGGAAGAATGAGATCAATTAACAGCAACTTTATAAAAGTACTTCTACATCTTTTCAGTCTTCCATCCTGAAATTACTCCTTAAATTGGAGATCCTCATATGGCTTCTCATAACTTAATTTAACATCTTAAGATGGAGAGGAAATTAATTTACAGAAGAAGACAAACATATATTTTCATACACTTCTTTTTACTTCATATGAGAAAATATATTAGCTGCTCTTTGTTTAAAAATTGAATACCTTCTGAGGCTTACAATTTAATAAAATTCTTGCCTCCTATATTTTAGAAAAAAAAATTGACAGTGGAACCACGGTTCCCTAGTTAACGTTGAATAACGTTTAACTGCAAAAGTATATTTGTACTGAAATAAAATTTTATTTACACATTAATGCATACCTTTACATCTTATCTATACTTGACATCACCGACGACAGCTTATCTATGTGTTGAGTCATGTACACAACACACACTCTAGAACCGTTCTTTGTTACCAAATAAATGACCAAAACTCATAAACCGTAAGAGATAGCTGAAATCTGTTTGCAAATTTGAAAAGCTCGTGTTTATTTACGTATTTCACTCGCAATATGTCCTGATCTAACTCTCACGCTTTAGACGTGGCATGCGGTTGAAGTTAAGGAATGAGGGTACAGTTATTACATGTTTTGGGTAATTATTTCAACAATGTGTAAAATATGCATTATAGAATAAAGTAAACATCATGTAGAAAAAGCCCTTTATTTACTCTTTAATTTACATATAGGTTTATATTTTCCATCTTTCATAGGTCTCGAGTTATTGGCATTTGAAGAAGTTACACACCAGCGTTACCTTACATCTTAAGTTTCCGTTGAGTGTACCGTGATTTTATAAATGTTATTCAACGTTAAAAGTTCAATAATTTTGGCTAAAACATTTAACAGGTTAAATTGATTAATAAATTTTTTGTTTACTGCCTATGGTAATGCAATTTATTTCTGCAAAATGCCAAGATAATATCTTCAAATAGATCTTATCTATTACATCTATCTTTACTGGTCACCACTGGTGATCATCTTAACTTCTCATCTGACATGCGTGATTTGAAGTACTGCTGTTAAATGATAAATGGTATAAAAACTAGGAATCATCTAAATGATACAAGATATTCAACAAAAATCATCTGTGTAGTTTCAATTTATCATGAGCAGTGGCTGTATACTATACAGTCTCTTGTAGCAAAGTATTTAGGTATATCAGTGGCTACAAAAAGGAGAATAATTTTTATATTGCAAATGTATCTGTATGAAAAGAATGGCAACAAAAGGTACAGGCAATGAGGACAGACGAGCAGAAGTGAAAAAGAATCCATAGTAGAGACCTGTTCTTTGAAAACCAAGACAAAGGATTGATCAAAATAATATACATAATATATAAACGTTTCTCATTTACATGGATGGGGAAAGCTTTAGTATTCATTTGGCTTCCTTGTGATTTAATGTATGTTAGAAATTGATTTATTATTTTTTACTTCCTACCAGCAATTCAGTTGTGATTGAGAGAGAATTGCTGATTCAGTTCTTGTCATTTAGTGCCTTTCATCATGCGATGCTTAGTAACTCTCAATTATTTATTCAGTGCCACCAAAACACTGCAAAAAGGCTTCATATAATATTGATTTTATGAGCATCATATACAGCATGTTTCAGTATTATTGTTACATTTTAATTACATTCATTAAAATGTAAGAAAAAAGTAATAACCAGCAAGGGGAGAGCAAAAACATTTTGATTGACTCAAAGGCAATGTGACTTATTCTTAGATTATTTAAGGATGCTTTTTCAACTATAGAGGTTACACAGTCAGATGACTAAGAGTGGTGAATATGTAAGGATCTGAAAGGTGTTGTGATCTAAATATTCTGGCATAGATTTGAATAAAGCACCTCCCACACCCAAGTGTAGTTATCACTACATATACATGCTTTGATCATAGGTCTTATGATACTGCATCAGATGAAGTGATTATGTATCATGAGTGGTTTCAAAATAACTTAGGATAGTAGTGTTAAAGAACAGTCTGAGAAACTATCCCAGCATTATCCAGAAGGGACTAGCAGAAGCATGAAAAATCTTGGCCTGGATACCTACTATTCTGGCTGAGATTCAAAATGGGTGTCTCCTGGATACAAGTTAATTATGGTGTCACTTCAGGTAGCCTGCTCAGTAAAAACTGCAATTGTGTGTCATCTAAGGATGAAAAATGTGGCATCAGTAGTTATGGACTTCAGTAAGCCTGATTCTAGTCTTATGAGTAGAGAAAATGGGTTGCATGTGAAATGAGCAGCCACATCCTAATTGGAAAGTACAGGGAGAAAAACAAAGAGAGAAAGAAATGCAACTCCTTACTTCATTGATATTTTGTTATTATTACAACTGGAAAAATACTGCTATGTACACAATGAGGGAAAATGTTACTATGAAAATTTCTATTTATATACTTGAGAGGTATAACATAGGACTGCACGCTACCAAGGAGTTTACATAAAATGGAAGTATAACTATCGCATACAGATATAATATATCCCTTAAAATATTGAGTGTATAATCACATAAAACAATTATTAATATTATCATCATCATTATTATTATATGTACACAACACAATGTTAGTAAAGTATATTAACAAACAGGATAAGCAGAATGCAACTTTTTAATTTTCAAGACATGTAAATTTATGATGTCATTACACATAACCAATTGCATACCACTATAATTTGAAAATATATTTGTTAGTAAAGGTAGCTGGAACAATTGGAGTAAGTTTGTTGATTGAGGACAAGAAACTGATCCATTTTGATTTGGGAACTGACCATTTGTTGGAAACAAAGTCAATGAAGTTGTGCATCTTGGTACACTCAAAATTTTTCTGATTTCACAAATCAAAGATAATCTACAAGGAAGTTCACTTTTTTGACAAGTCATTGCAGCCACATATAACTATGAAGAAGTGCAACTTTGCAATGTATTCATTTACATTACAGTGGCAGGCAATTTATTATTAAAGTGTGCTCCTCCTGTATATGACAGTTATGCTACCATTTCCCTTGAGCAGTTGGTGAAGAAATTCCCTGCTGTTCATCACTGGGATCACAAAATTTTGCATGTGAACCCTTACCTGAGCCATGTATATATTTCATTTGTATCATCAGACATGTAACAGCAGATTTACATTAATCACATATATACCTAATAATATGTAAAATCATCACATTAATAATAAGATTCATTTCATGTCATAATAAATATAGCAAAATTTAATAACAGTATGATAGGAGAAAAAAAGTAAACTACAGCTATAGGACAGTCTTTCTAGAACAGATGATAGTTATTCATTATTGAAACACTATGTTGAACATTGTTCGCTGTCTATAAACCTCAGATAGTGAACAATGTTAAAAATAATGTTTCTACAATGAATCAAGCACTGTCACAAACCTTTAGGGAAACAATGATAGTTGTTCAGTAAGTCAAGAAATTCAGTTATGGAGCCTCATGGTTCATCACCATGTTTACAAAAGTCTGATACAATCCAATTCAATTCACATCATCACAGTATATTTCTGTATTTATTAATGTTGATATTATCCTCCCATCCATGCCTGTTACTATTATATTAATGTATTCTGGCCAAAATTTTGTATGCACTTTGTGCATTCCATTATATTCTTGATTTCACTGACCTTAGGTGAAGGATGTAAATTGTAAAATTTCTTGTTTCTTCATTCCTCTGTTACTTCCTTTCTCTTGGGTCCAAGGCAGTCTCATTAAAAATGGAGTTAAGTATGTTGCAGAATCAATACAACAATTATGAAAAATTCAGATACATATTTTTAAATTGAAATTTATAATGTAAAAAATTAAATTAATTATGAACAGGAAAAAGGTGATAGGTAGCAACTTATTTTCAAAACCTCTCCAATGTTCACTTCAAGGTACTCAGAAAAATTACAAAAACATTATCAGAGCTGACACTTGTTGGGATTTTAACCTGTTATCAACTGAATATATGCCACAGTAGTACTTCATACTTGGCCAAACACTACTTCCTTTTATATTTTTTCAAATTAATTATTCATTAATCCTGTTATTCAATGCTATATAATCAGAGTTACTGACAATGTAATTAAATAGAACCACAAATAAATAAACAAACTACTACCTGTATGGAGAGCTGCAGCAATATTTAGTATCCCCCCACAAAAAAAAACCCTAGCACACTGTGATGAGAGAGAGAAAAAAAAGATTTAGAGCACCATAAAACAGCTGTTTGAAAAGTATTAGAGCCAAAGATAGGTGAAGTATAGTGTGGCCAACAGATCTGAATCCACAGAAAATATGTGAAATCTCTTCCCACTCTGTCATACACTTTCTCTCCTCTGCATGTTGTCACTTTTCAGTCACATTGTTATATAAACTAATGAGACTGACTCGTACACAAGACTGTATTAACATGAACAAAGTTGGTAACAGTAGAAAAGAAAACAATACTGTGTAACAGTGAACAGTAAAAACTATTAAAAGTCCAATGTGTATACAGTCTGGTAACTCAGCTTACAATCCTAGCATTACTGACACATCCATTACAACGATGAGTGCAGGAGAGATTAAAGCTGTGAAACTGAATGCAGCTCTCTGACCCCTACTGTGGGTTATATATATACAAAAGGGGATTCTAGGTGTATGATTATGCAAATTCATAGCTACTCAGTCTACAGGCAACTGTGTGTAACATTCAGAAGTGAAGATTTTTGTATCTTTCTGTGCATACTCAATGTTATGTCAGACTACTGGCTGTGTGTGAATGTATAATAGAAACATGGAATGAATCTGATCCATAGGAACACTTCTGCAAAAATATCTTAATCCTGTATTGAAACTTACTATCATAAAAGCAAAACATGGTCTCTCACTCAGAGGGAGGAACACAGATTGCAGGTGTTTGAGAACAGGGTGTTGAGGAGGATATTTGGGCCTAGGAGAGAAGACGATGGGACATGGAGAAAACTGCATAATGACGAACTTAAAAATCTGTACTCCTCCCCCAGTATTGTCAGGGTGATTAAGTCGAGAATGAGATGGGCGGGGCATGTAGTGAGCATGGATGGGACAAGAGGTGTGCACCGGGTATTGGTTGGGAAGCCTGAGGGGAAGAGCCCGCTGGGGAGACCTAGACGTAGATGGGAGGATAATGTCAGGCGGGATCTATGGGACATAGAAGTTGAAGGAGACTGTATTTTTTTGGCCCAGGACAGGGTCTGGTGGAGGGCTTTGGTTAATTCGGTGATGAACCTTCGGGTTCGGTAAGCCATCTAGTTAGTTAGTTAGTTATCATAAAAGCTGCAAATTTTTTCAAAGACTTGTGTTATTCACATAATATTTCAACAAAAATACTTGATCAGCAATAATTTTATGTCCACAGCTGAATTGGTTGATGGACAAATTCAGTTTGCTAACAAAGCTCCAATGTAGAACTCTAAAAGGCATCCATCAGGACTAGGGGTGGAGTATTCACATTAATGGAGTTAGCCTGGCTAACATGAACACTCTGCCTTTGATCAGGACAAGATATACAAACCTGAAGTGAAATTTATATAACTTCCCACTATGTTTCATAACCTATTACCCAGAATGATGCAAATGAAGGAAAGTAGAAGCCGACTGGGGATGAAGGATGTGGCGAGTGCTTTAGTTACGCAAAAGTCTCAAAGTTCTCAAGTATTTAACCTTCAGAGTATGGCATTTATATCTTGTATAAGAGCTGGGAAAGGTAATACTTTCAAGACTTTCAGAATCCAAATAATTTTATACCATTTCTATTAAATACTTGAAATAACAATTTAAAAAAATGGTTTTAGAGGTTTATACTGACTTATGACAGAAGCTGGAAGAACACTAGATATTTAAACCTTCAGTGTTTTCTAGTTTGAACAGGAACCACAATGACATTCAAAACTGGATTCATGATTGAGTTGCTATGTTTATTACTTATACTTCTCAAGTGTTCTTTATGCCTCAGTGTAAACAAAGAATGCCTTATTGGCATGTCTTGTCTATCTGCTGCAACTTTCAGCTGAAAAGATTATGCTGCCATCCATTACATGTATAAAAAGTGCCTTTGGAACTTTTGTATACTTACACAATACAACTTACCAACCTTGTTTAGATATGTTTACATTGACTGGCAAAATATAAGTTTGTAACTTTATGTTTCATATGTGGGTGATATCTTGGACAACTAGGAAAGAGGAGACCTTATTCTCTGTGTACTCTTTATAGTGATTTCATCATTATTTAAGGTCAACAAGTAACAACTCATCAATAACAAATTATTTTAATGTCATAAAATAATATGCGAAAAACAAACACATATAACAAAGCTGCCCATAATGTAGCTTAGCATAAATATAACTGCAACAATTATCGAAAATATATCAACTAGATCAAAAGATTATAACCAACAGCTACTTCATATTTGGAAAACATGGCCAAAGGAATGTGTGAAGAAATTAATAAAAAGTTCCTTAAATTAATTATCGTTGTTGCTATCCAATCATACATCAACAACCACGATATCAAATGTACACTCAGTTTCCTACTGCTGAAATTACTATTCAGAACATAAGTATGGTCAACCCTATGCCATATTACACCAAGTAACATAATCTATATAAAATGACAATTATTTTAGTATTTTATTTGGATGTTTACATTAGCTACTCCTTTGGTGGTCTTGTTAGTATATGGCAACACTGTAAATCATGCCATGTGCATGGTAATTTTCAATGGAATAACTGCCCCCAGGCAAAGTACAAGAATATAAAAAATATAAATCTTTAAGGCAAATGAAAAAAAATGTGCAGACTTGCAAATAATTACAGAGAAACTGAATCTTTTCTGTCCAGAAATACACCTATACCCTACACCAAACCAATCACCTGTCACAGAACAGAACAGTCACAACCTGGTATTAACAAAAATTCCTGTTTTTCCTTAGTCTGTTACTTTGTTTAAGGTTTATTTTGATGTAGGCGCTGTGGAGGTGGTGGTGGTGGCTGTGATGGTGGTTCTTGTTGCTGTTGTGAAGGTGGTTTTTGTTGTTGCTGTTGTGATGGTGGTCTTTGTTGTTGCTGTTGTGATGGTGGTTTTTGTTGTTGCTGTTGTGATGATGGTTCTTGTTGTTGCTGTTGTGATGGTGGTTTTTGTTGCTGCTGCTGCTGTGGTGATGATGGTTTTTGTTGCTGCTGCTGCTGCTGTGGTGATGATGGTTTTTGTTGCTGCTGCTGTGGTGATGATGGTTTTTGGTGTTGTGAAAGTTTCTGTTGTTGCTGTGGTGGTGGTGGTTTTTGCTGCTGTTGTGGTGGTGATGGGGTTTTTTGTTGTTGCTGGGGGAGTGGTGGTTGCCTCTCTTGCTGTGGTTTTGACTGCTGTTCCTTTTGAGGTTCAGGTTTTTGTTCCTGTTTGCTTTTCGGAGGCTCGGCAAATGATAGTTTGACTCGTCCAACATATGTATTGTACGGAGAACCTAGATAGAATGCTCCATCAAACCAATGAGCTTCAGAAATTCCAGATAAAGATCCATCTGTGTTATGATAACTATGCTTTATTTTACCATCTACATCAAGCTGCAGTATAACAGTATCCTGTGCACTAAGTCCACGTGCAGATATGAAGTGGCCAATCCAGTGAACTATTCTCTTAGCATAATAGTTTGGATATATATTGTTAATCTGCTCAAATGGCATTTCTAATAGAGCTAGAATACGTGCTATGAACTTTCTTATTAGAGGGAATGGCCCAAGACTCTGGAAGAGTATAGGATAATTTTTATCTCTGACTGCAATCAGTGGAACTAGGAATCCTCCTTGACCATCAGATTTCAAGTTGTCTGGAAGACCTGGGAGGCCATCTATAAAAATATCGTGACTTCCTTTCTTGGGGCCTTCCACATAATACCTGTGTATACGACTTTTTGTTGTTTCTGCAACCAACACAAAGTCTTCTTTTGGAGACACAACAACACCATTGGGAAAATGGAGACCATCAATAAGCACTTCATTGCTCTTTGTTTTGGGGTTATATCTTATTAACCTGTAAACAAACATATTAAAATAGTGTTAATATTTATTTTGAAAAAGGAGCAAACTAGAAATTGAAAACAATGCAGTAAAACCATTTAGTTCTAATGATATCAGGGGTATTATACATCAATATTTTTGCATAATCAGATATATATGGTCTAACAACATAAAATAATCAATAATAAAAATAGTGGGAGACAAAATTCAGAACTATAAACTTGTGACTTCACATTCTATTAGTCAAGAAATGGGATGGGATTGACATACAGCATGCAACAGGGAAAATTTGTAATTTTGTGGAATATATTGTGACAAAAATACATGGACTTGGTTAAGGAGATTGGTAGTCCCATTGGAAATATGCCAGCACCAATATCAGTGACACAGATGTAACTGGTTTTGTCTGATATGTAAACAGGCTAGGGAATTTAGAAAACAGGAGGAAACTATTTTGGATCTGTAAAGGCATATGATCAGACTGATAATCTTAAGGTGCCAGAATCTAGCCTTGCCAAAGTGGAAACTGCTATTGAGAAGTTGAAATGGTATAAATCCATGGGTACTGATCAGATTCCAGCCAAACTGATCAAAGCAGGAGGCAAAATGTTATGTTCTGAGATACACAAAATTATTCATTCTATATGGAATAAAGAGGAAAAGCCACAGCAGTGGAAGGAACCTATTATTGTACCAGTTCATAAGAAGGGTGATAAGATTGTTTTTAATAATTATCAAGAAATCTCCCTCTTATCTTTATCATCTACCTACTAAATTTTATCCAGTATTCTTCTGGCCAGGCTGACTCCATATGTTAATGAAATTATTGGGAAACATCAATGTGGGTTCTGTTCAAACAGATCTACAAGTGATCAAATTTTCTACATTCACCAGATGCAAGAGAAAGAGTGGGAGTACAATGGGACATTACATCAACTATTTATAGACTAGCAGACAGCCTGTGACTAAGTTAAAAGAGAAGCTCTTTAGAATATTTTGCTTGAATTTGGTGCACCTACTAATCTAGACAGGCTAATTAAAATTTGTGAAGGTAAACACTTGTCCTATTCAGAATGGCCTGAAACAAGGAGATGCTCTAATGCCGGTGCTTTTCAGTTTTGCCTTAGAATATGTCATCAGGAAAAGTCCAAGAAAATCAGGGAAGTTTTTAATTGAATGGGACACATCAGCTTTTGATCTATGCTGATGATATTAATCTGTTGGTCGATAATATAAATATTATAAAAGCAAACATGGAAACACTCTTAAGGGCTAGTAGAGATGTTGGTCTAGAAATAAATGCAGAAAAGACAAAGTATATAATCATGTATCAGCATCAGAATTCAAGACAACCAAAATATAAAGTTATCTAATGATATGACAAAATTGAAGTACTTGGGGATGACACTAAGAAATCAGAATGACATTCATGCCAAAATCAAGAACAGATTAAATTCAGGGAATGCTTGCTATCATTCAGTCCAAAATGTTTTGTCCTCTTGTCTCATATAAAAAAATAATTAAATATTAAAATATACAAAAGTGTAATTTTACCAGCTGAGTTATATGGGACCTAAAAGGGAGGAGGATGGATCATGGAGAAAGTTGCATTGATGAGCTTCATGGCCTGTACTCCTCACCTGATATTGTTGGGGTAATAAAATCAAGAATGAGGTGGGTGGGGCATGAAGCATGCACAGGGGAGGGGAGGAGTGTTTATAGGGTATTGGTCCGGTGGCATGAAATGAGAAGACCACTGGGAAGACCTAGGTGTAGGTGGGAGGATAACATTAAAATGGACCAAAGGGAGACTGGAATCGATGAAGCGAAATGGATGCAGCTAGCACAGAATAGTCCAGTGGCAGGCTTCTGCAAACACAGTGATGAACCCTCAGGTTCCATAAAGAATGTAGGCTATTATTTGAGAAGCCAAGTATACAATTGTCTTTTCACAGAATTTTCTCTGCCATAGAGTGAGTGAGTAGAAAGATTCTACTTCTAGGTAGTAGTCACTGGGGAGGACTACATTAGCATGGATGATCTGAAGTTTTCACAGTGACCAAGCATAATGAACTCTTCTCAGGCTACCAGCCGTGCCAGGTGGTTTAATGGAGAAAACATCAACATTTTGAGAACTATTCATCCTCATCCTCAGGGTACTCAGGCATCTTCAGTACCCTGAAGACAAGAATGAAGATGGTTCTTGATATGTTGATGTTTTCTCCATTAAACCATCTGATACGGCTGGTAGCCCGAGAAGAGTTTGTTATCCTACATGAACATCTTCACTAAATCCTGGGGGATGAACAAATGGTAAGAAATGTATTCAAACCCAATTTTACACCTGAGTATGTTGTTGTTGGGGAACTTGTAAAACTATAATTTAACAAAGGATGATACATACTTAAAGTGGGAGGAGGAGGCAATGGCCAACATAAAAAAATAAGGGGGGGGGGGGAGAAAGATCTTTCATATATTCTGGAGCAAATTCCTTTAAAATGCTCAAAAGATGGTCAAGGAATGTTGGTGTACAGCATCAGTATGTTCTGATTAAAGGAATACAAGTGAAGATGTTTTCAACCAGAATGAATGCAACAACAATCTCCACAAACCTGCCACTTCCATCTGCAAGCAAATCAAATAAACCATCATTCAGATGAAAGTTGCAACTTGAACTTGTCCAGTAGACAGTACCATCATCTGCGACATCAACTGAATTGGGAATTTTATTAATCTTTCCATCAATTAGTTCATCAGCTGACACAAGTTGTGTTTTTGTACCAGTGTTCACATTAACTTTAAACAATCCATAGTATGCATCAGTAACATAAAGAAGGCCATCTGGGCCAAATTTCATTCCCAATGGTCGTCCACATTTTGTTTCTTCCCAGAAACCATCACAGGGTTTCCCAAATTTTGCTACTGGTACTACTTTACCATCAACAAACTTCACTATTTCTCCTCCATGCAGCCCTGTATACAGAACTCCTTTATGGTCTGCAAACGCTTCAGGGCCATGGACCTTACCACTGTATAGCTGTTCGGCATTATTTAACAATGAGTTTACACTCAATAAGCCTTCCAATGGAGGTGGTTCGGAAACTCTGAACTCGGTAAACTGAACATAAGGTGGCAATCCGGGCATCAACGTAACAAGAAAGAAAATAAATGTTATTTTAAGTAAACTTTTCCAAATGAAACTAATGAATCCCATGCCGACTGATTCACTTTTCTTTAGGCACAATGAACCTAGTTTTGTGTATTGTGTGTAGTACAAAATTGCTAATCTCTTTTCATAATACAAACCCGTCTATAAATTATTCAAAACACAATAGTAACTATTTCTTATTAACGTCAACAGACAACACTACACATTCCTAATTTCTGACTCACACTCCACGGAACATACGTAATCTCCTAATGAATAAATTGCAAACATACAATACATGGATTGTATCACAGATATGAGGACCCGACCCTCGTGACTACCGCAAGTCAAAACGCCAGTGATTACTCCAATGACATCTTCCGGGTAAATGACAAACAATGTGAAATACAGATAACCAAATGCATGTAAGTTCTGTAATGTATCACCAGATATGTGGGGGCAGCACAATTACAATCAACAATGTCCACGTAAACATTCGTGTTATTAATTGTCACGTTTACAGATATGTTTGCGAAGCTTAAAAACAAAATAGCGGAGGAAGTAAAACAGTCTCCTTTAAAGCTTTCTGCATCTGTACAGCAGCTGGCCCAGGTTTGTTTATTGCAACTAGCAAATAGTGACTTCCCAATACTGAGTCAAGTTTAGTATTCTTCGAACAGTGCAAAGGAATATAATTATTCGTTTTCTCTTGTTCAGGCAGTAGTGTCTCCGTCAAGTAGTTCCATTGTTGAACCTACCTCAAATGACCATTTTAGCATTGGTGATGAGACTGAAGGTAAGTGGGGTTGCAAGAAGGTACAGATCAAGTCAAACTAGAATTGACATGTTGCATGAAATGGGAGTGGACGTCTGTTTACTGTGTAGAACTTCACTTTTGGAATTAATATGTAATTATCGATGTTCACCTAAGATGAAGTAAACAAGAGAATAGTATTGAATTACACATGAAGATACCAGATTCTGTACATAACAAATTGGCTGAAGTGCAGATGCATAATTGCAAAAAGAAAATAAATTTATTAGTCTTGCCAAGAGGAGCAATAGATATGTACTTCTTATAAATAGAACTGCCTGTCTGCTTAACATGATCTGTTCGGTTGTGTTAAACATGTCTTTTTAGGATGTTCCTGCAGTTAGATATCTTAAGTTGTGTCTGATGGAATGAAAACTTTTAAATGTTTCTTCCTACTTTGTAGAAACACCAAAAAATTCACCTTTAAAGATTGAAGGATTCCAGTCGGTGAATTTACATGGTGAAGCTCTACTGTCTACTCCAGTACCCTCTGCTGGTGGAAGATCACGCCATTCTTCAACAAGTTCAGTGACCAGTGATGCATCTTCACTGTTTCCCACCTTTGAACCATCTGTGTTGAATTCACATAGTCTACAGGTGTGACAGAAATGTTCAAGTTACTGTTTGCTTCTTTTTAACTTTGTTATCATCGTTTCTTTATTTATATCTAAGATTGCATTCTTTTATGCATATATATAGGTTTATGCTAGAAATAAAATGATCATTGTCACCAGTTTCAGATTATGAATATATTCCTAGCAAACTCCTCAGTCCTTTCAGGATCGCATTTTGATACAAATAAAAACAAATTCTTTTCCTAGCCTTTCCAATTCACCACACATTATTGTCATATCTGTATTTATTTGAAAATTATAACCTCTTCAGATGAGACAGCATTAAATGAACAAGAGTACAGATATATACTCCAGTGAAGTACTTGTATTTTTACAAATTTTTCATGATTTTGCATGTCTTATTGACCTTGATAGTCATTTATTGGAGATTTAAACATGTTCATGCAAATTGAATCACTATCTCATGCAATTAATCTGATCATCCTGATAAGAAGTGATTAGTAGAAATTATGGAACTCCTCATTGTGCATTTTCTCATAGCTTCCCATCACTTTTGTCTTAGGTATAATATTCTCCTCATCTCTCTGTTCTCATACACCCTCTGTCTGTTTTTCCAGTAGTGTGGGAGTCAAGTTTCACTCCCATATAAAATGTCAGGTAAAATTATGATGTTATATAGAATAGAATTTATTTAGATTCCATAGATCCATCATAGGCCTAAGCCAAGGATGTAGAACATGTCATAGCACAAATACAATTCTTGTTTCTAGTACAAATATAAATACATAGTTATAACAGCTTTGACAGATTTTTGGAACTACAGTATTACAGCAAAATAATTATGATGAGAACAATCACCATTATTACTTACATATATTTATAAATTCTTCTACTGAGTAGGAGTGAGATAGGAGATACTCATTTAATGCTATATTTTAATGTTTACATTTTTAGTAAGCAGATGGGATTACAAAAGATTATGAACTGCATAGTAGCAAGCATTCCCAGAATTTATTTCTTCATGAATGCAAATTTGATTTGTTATCATTCCCAAGTATTTAAAACTGTTTCAAATGAAAGTGTTGATGATGATAATATATTATGGCACATTTGAATGTGTTATATCACCAGCTGTATTAGGGAATATTAAGTTTAATTTTGGCTTTATGCAAATTTTGAGTTATACAACACCAGTTAACTTTGCTAGTCAAGTTTTTATTGTCTTCTCCATTATGAAACATTATTGAAGTCTGTTTATTAGTTTGGAAATGAACGATGTTGACAGACATGTGACATTCCCTGTGCACATTCATTTTATGTAAGAAATGAAAATGTTTTTAGATGAATTAATTCATGAAGTACATAAGACAAAAACGGATGGCAACAGATTAAGGCAAAAGGCAACCCTGATCTTAACCTTTATCATACATTAACAGGGGATTTAAACCTCCATATTACAGGGCTTCCAGCCAAACTTTAACTCCAGGGTTAACAGTTTAGTGGTATGCTAGTGCAATGCTTGTTAACTGGACCATGAATAAGACGTGATACACTGTTGATAACGATTAATTAAGCACCGTGTCATGATGATGTATGGGATTGTTGATGTATAGCTATAGAAATTCTTTATTTTATTGATGAGGTACGTGGTTAGCTTCATGCTCAGCCACTACCCTCAAGAAGAAAGCTGCTGGGGTAGGTCCCAGAGCTTGTCTGGATATGGTATCAACAAGAAAAATGTCTGTCCCTGGCAGAATCAGACTCACTCATCTAGCTCATAACATAGTCACTTTAATCTGAGTGCTACCTTGGCTCTGCAGATTGTAAAATATCACAAATATTTTATTCTATTCATCATTTCTTGATTTTGATTTTCAGTCTGATCTAGAGTCTGCAAGTGAAGTAGAGGATTCCCTTGGCTACCAGTTGGATAGAATCAGTAAGGAACAGCTGTATGCAGCATACCGCAAGGTGCAAACACGCTATACAAAGTGCAAAGGACGATATGCAGATCTGGTACGACATTATAGAGAACTTGATCGGGAGAATGTTAAGGCAAAGGTACAAAACCTGTATGTTAAATGTATCATGTGACTACAGAATTTTTATGATTTTGGGTATGTACTGTATGAGAAAGAAACATTACAGATGTGAAACAACATTTTTTTATATAGGATTTGAGATTTTTGTGGCGAGTACAATAAATAAAATCTTCTCAGGCAATCAGCCGCGTCAACTGGTTACCGTAGTAAACCAGTTGATGTGACTGATTGTCCGAGAAGATTTTATAGAACATTTTTTTATGTTTGTTGGTTTATAGTTTAATTAGATAGGAATAGTATGACCTCACTGTATGACTATGAACAGTAGTCTATTTGTAAAGTTGCTGTATCTCCTAATTATAATTTTTATATATGAATCTTTAGACAGCAAAGTTGCATTTTACAGGCTTTCTTAATTGTGTAATACAGGTCAGTGTAATTTATAGATTTCTTGTGCACTTGAATCAGATTGAAAAACAGCAAAAGTTATTCTTTGAAATCTGATGGTGTTTGTAGGAACAAGGTTTAAGGCATCTCTTCTTCTGATTTACGGCACCTACTTCTGTATTAATAATGTTATACATCTTTTCCAGACTATTTTGGTGGAGAGTCAGGATAAAGCATTGCGAAGAATTGCAGAGTTGAAGGAACAGTGCCAATTAGAGCAGAAAGCCAAAGCTCATTTAGAAGATGCCTTAAGAAATGACTTGGAAGAAAAAGATCATTTGATCAGCACTTTATACACAAAAATAGAACTGTTAAAACTGAATGGTGGTAAGGAGGAACCTGATCCAAACAATCAGAAAGTGAATTCTTCAGAAAATCTGCTGATTGACTTGTCAGAGGGAGAGCCATCTATACTTGTGCCAATGAAACATCCTCAAGAGGATCCAGCCCTCATTAATGAGACAAATTTGGTACTGAAAGGTAAACAAAAACAGAACTGTGTTAATTGTCATGAAATCTAAAAAAATATACTCCAAACCAAATGGACAAAGATTACTTGAGAGACCATCATGTGAGTGGGGGAATATAGGCTGTGAAGGCGGCTACTGCATTGAACTGGCTCATGAATTGATTTTGTGGTGGTGATGATGATGATGGTAATAATAATAATGTCCCAAAATGTTACAAAATGTTCCACATCATTGTTTGGATGCTTCTGTGTCTTCTTAATCAGAGGTGTTTAGGCATTTCTGCGTACCATGAACCAGTCATATTTGCTAATTCACTTTTCTTGTTGTTTTTTTATTTGTGTATTGGCTCCCAACAGTTCACTATTTTTTAATAATCATCCTGTGATGCATTTTACAAATTTTGCACAAATTTTGGTATGTACCCCATGTTTACTGCATCACAGTCTGCCTCAGTCACTACCATATGGTGACGCTTCCTTTTACTCACTACACTTCCACTTATGTTTGAATGAACCATTTGTTCCTCATCCGCTAATAAAAAAATTGTATAATATGCTAACAGAAATATAACCACAAGAAAATAGATACTTAGCGGATAACCTTAAACCATTAACAGTATTGCCACATCTTGTTTTGATTTTACTATAGGTAGATTTGTGCTATCAACAGTTTTGCCACAACTCTGCCCTTTAGTATACCACCAGTAATGTGTATATTCAGTTCTCTTCTTTTTATTACCTGAAATATTTCAATATATAATAGTTTGAAAATATCTGTTTTGGATATTTCTGTGGTATTTTCTTATTATAGCATTGATATACAGTCAAACTCGGTTATAATGAGATTCAAGGGACCAAGGAAAATTACTCATTATAACTGTTACTCGTTATATCCGTTATTGTGGCTGAATGTTTCATATCGGTACAGAAAAATTTCATTCGTTTGTTTGACAGGTAGTTTCTCTCCCTAGGTCTTCTGATAATTCATAACATTAGGGAAGAGATAGAAGAGAGTATTAAGAGATTGGGGAAAAAACAAAAATGTCAATGTCTTATGCACCTACAGCATACGACATGCTCTGTTCAAATGATGCAGCGGTGTAGTGAAATCATTCTGCCCTCCCCCACCATGAGTAACCATTTAGAACACTATATTTGCCCTGATACCTGAGAGCATTCATACACCCTTGGCACCCCACCATGCAGGGTCTGCCGGGATTTCCACTACACCACTGGACCGAGCACTGTGCTCTTCATGAGTAGCATACCGAACTAAATGAGATTCTGATAATGGAATTCATCGAACCAAACACACTGTAAATGTCGAGTGTAAATATTGTTAAAAGGGTTCTAAATTGCTATCGGCAGGGATGTGGAAAGAGATAAGGGGGAGAATGTCATAAATAGGCAAAGCAATAATACATCTTAGTCCCTTGTACTGCAGTTCAGCCACTGCTCATTATAATGGCTTAAAGATTTGCTCGTTATACTTGTGAAGCTCTCAACTACTATGAAATATTGCTCATAAAATACATCATTTCCAACCAACTCTTTTCTGTTCACTTTCAACAGTCAAGATGTTGTTATAACTGTGCTCATTATAAAATAATTTTGACTGTACTTTGTTTACTGTAGGTCAGTCATTTGTTTGAGTCAGTTGAAGTGAAAAAAAATTAAGTTTGGACAAAGTAAGAGGTAATATATTAAGAACCCTGAGAGAAGCAGCAGTAGTGAAGTGATTAATGTATGTAGTAATCATAGCTTTATATAAATACCTATTTATACTACAAAACATGATTTGCATAATTGTGAGTTCAATTTTATCATCAGTGGAACAAGTAATTAATGCCATTGAACCATAAAAAATACATTTTGAAGAAAAATGTTTGTGATTCTGAACAAGTTGCTAAACCAAGAAATCCAGAAAAACAGAATTATGTTTATATGTAGCCATAACTGACATCTTTATAAAAATGTAAAGAGTGCAGATGCCTTGTTAGATTTTTCAATTTTTTTATACCGCTGCTCATTTTGCTGGTTCCTTATTATTTATTGTTTGCAAACCTAATATTTAACTGACGAATTTGTTATTTTACAGAGAAAGTTTGGAAACTTGAAACGTTACTCAGCAAATGTAAGGAATCGATCAGACGCAATAAAGAACGTATATCTCACCTCAGTTTAGAAAATCAACAACTTCTAAAGACCGTAGTGGATACAAAGGTAAATAAATAGAATTGGATCATGTGTTGCAGAATCAAGGGACAGTGAAATCTGATGTATAAAGAGAATTTAAAAAGTGTGAGAAGTTTATTGTTTTTCTTTATTCTGAGAAGGTACACAAAAAGAAATGTACTGCTTTTTTTTCTCATTCATCCAAGAAACCAATTGTCACTGAACAGGAACAGTTACCAAGTTGAGTTCTTGGAATTATGAATAGTAACAATGAGTGTTCAGTTTGCAGTTTAAAAAAATAATCTGTGTCAGTTATGTGTAGAAGAAATATGTGTTTACTGGAATCCTTTACTTGAGCGCATGTGTTTCAATACTTATTAGAAGAATATACTTAGAAGTAAGTGAAGATTGCCACAGCACTTCAGTTTCAAGAAACATGAGAAGGAAGATATTCACACTTTTGTTTAGATGAAATTTGGGACTTTTTACCCCTGGTGACTACATGAATGAAAGTCTCATTGGATATGTCCCTGCACAAGTACAGTTTTTGGTTATGACTTTGTGATACCATATTTCAGTTGATGTAGATGTAAATAGTTTACAAGAGCAAGGTCAGTCAGGTTTGGATTTCAAAGCTTGGGCAGTATGTACAAAAAACTGGATTACTGTTTGTATTTTGTTTGCTTATGTAAGACATACAGATGTATTATAACAGTGCCTAATTCTTGTTTTTTATTAAGTTATATTTAGATATATGGTATGAAAATTCTGTATGAGATGTTAGATTTTAGAATGAAGATGTTTATCAAGCTTGATTTTGTTTTAAATGCATTAACAGGCATCAAGTAGTGCACAGTTGTCTGCATTAACTCAGGATCTAACTGCAGCTCAGCAGGAGGTAGGGAAGTTGGTAGAAGAATTGGATACATTGCACAAAAGGGAGGAAGATGCTGCCCTTTCTTTGGCCGAAAATAAAATGGCAATCCATAGGGAATTAGAGGCAAAGGAGGAACAGATTAAATCTTTGAGAGATTCGTTAGCACAAATAACACATGATAAGGAAGCATTACTTGAAAGAGGTGAGTTATATATTTATATTATATTATGGCTTTTATAAATACTTTAATGTTCAAAACATAAATCTACTCCTGAATTGTTGTGGTAGAGCAGCAGTTTTTTTTAATATGTGCCAATTTAAACCCTGGGATAAGCACTTCCTCCAAATAAACTTAATTCTTTGAGTTGTACTGGCTTCCAGACTGTGTGTGCTACTGTAATTACAAAGATTACTTTGTTTTCTTTATTAGTTAACCCTTTCGTTAGTGTGAATGAGGTGGAGATAGTCTATTTCTTGTCCACGAAGAAGTCCTGACTTATCTTCAGTAGTTTTCTTCTTTTAGGACTGATCAAGATATCATTTATGGTTGAAAGGTAAACAGTACTGTGGGCCACTGCATTGTTGCCTATCATGCTTGGTTGGGTCTGAATTGAAGTGGAATAATGCTTTGATATGTGATACTCATATTGAGTTGCACTAAATTACACTCATTCTTAAATGTAGTTGGTGTTGTGTCATGAAAATAAAACTGTGTCATTAATAACATTTTGACATTGTTTCTTCAGCATTATTCTTTTTATAATCCATTCATCAGCACACACTCCAAGTAACAATGTCTCAAAAATCATATTACATATTTTATTTATTTTAATCATATTGCCCCTTTTAACATAGTGAATTTAATATTCAGAATATTTTTGTTCACAATTTGTTAAGCAGTATAATGGTTACTTGGTTACTTTTATGATGCTCTTGTAACTGTTGAGGTTGTGTTTTGTCATATGATATATGGCAGGATGATTGTGAACAAAAGTGTTAGAGAAAGGGAGGAAAAGAAGTTGTGGCCTGTTTTGTTGTAGTGTTCGTGGACAGACTTATGAATAGCACCATGCAAAAATGAATATATGGACTAAACCAGGGTGGCCCAAGTTTCTTCATTGCTTAGGCCAAGTCTAGTTTTGCTATTGGACCCAATAGCCAAGAAACCCTTCATGGAAATTTTTTAAAAATAATTAATTCATAAATGATGAATTACCATTGTAATGCCTATACTAAAATATAATTTTTTTTGAAATGTGCACATATTATTATATAGAGTTACATATATTAAATTTGAAGCTGTAACAGCTTGTATCTGACAAAGTTCTTACCTGGTGAACATGCATTTTATTGAAGGATTTTAAAGTCAGTAACATGTGGTACTTGTATGTAAAGCAGCAGACCTTATAAGAATCACAGTTTTTGTTTAAAATCCTCTGGAACAAAGAAAGTAATTGAGTTTGTGCTAACTAGTGATAAAATATAAAATAATTTTGCAGACCTGGTTACAAGTGGTCTCAGGTCAGGTGTGGCCCATGGGTCACCAGTTGGACTGTGCTGGACTAAGCTGTAATAGTTATATGTTGCTGAGTATATTACTTAACCAGAATTATTTTTTCCATCAATATTATATAGCCACCAGCTTGCAGAAGGAGATGACAGAACTGAAATCAGTTGCTGTTGCACCAGCAGCAGAAGGTGTTGGAAATTCTGAGGAAGATCGTCATAATCTCATGCAGGTACTGGGAAGCTTATGATTAACCATTTAGCATGGATTAATGACCAGGGTACATGGTCATTTAAATGTTCTACTTTACAGTTTCCCTTATTCCATACGTTCAGCTGCAAGCTGCACTGATATGGTCTCTTGTCACAAAACTAACAATCATATTGAGATGCTATTTGAATGGAACTATCATGAAGGCTCTGAACTTTTCATTTGTATAGCTGTAACCTTGAATGAAGGAGAGACCAACCAACCAAGCAAAGAAAATAAAGCTTCTATAAAGGCTATGACATCATAGTCAACATGTCCAAGCCTTCTTGATGTTGTGTACTTAGAGATTTAGAACAAAGTGCACTTTTAGATGAAACTGTAGATAATGATGAAATTGTTAGATGTAATTCAAATGAACAATCTGTATTGTTGCCCATGGTTGGAAAATGCCTCCCCTAAAACTTCTGAAAGCTTATGATTTAGTACAAAATGGAGATTAAATACCAGGTGATTCAAAAAGGACTTTACAACTTTGAAAGTGTATAGAAATTTATTCAGAAGGCTTACAGAATCGGTTGAGGTGTCATTTTGTAGCAAAACAAATCAAGTTTGACTCACGTTGTG